TTCATCCGCTTTCTGCGATGCAGGGGAACACCTACAGCCCAAATGATTCCTCGGCGTCGGCCGGAGGTGCGGAGCTCACCCCGAAGGACTGGGCCTCCAGGGGGGCGGGTCCCCATTTCCTCGTGCAAGTGCCTGCGGATCCTATTAACCGCAAATGATGTCTCTTACTCCTCCCTACGAAGTTCGCATGGTTCCGCTTCGGCCATGAGCCTCCATCGACCCAGTCCGAGGAGTTCTAAACCAGGTTCGCGGTCCAGTTGGTGTCCTAAAACCGCTACCTAAGTGCTGGGACGGCGTTGCGCCTGCACAAGAGGTTGCGCCTCCCTCTGGTGTCGCCGTAAGTGTAATTGTGAAGGACTCGGCGGGATGTTCACAAGGTTGAGTCGGGACCGGAAGTTCATCCGAAAGACACACTCAAGCTCTTAGTCCAATTGACCACTCAAAACTTACCAGGCATGCCACTGTCAATCTTGAGTCAAATTGGCAGTTGCGCGTATCACAGTGACGATAGACAATGGTACTAAGTTAGAGCAGGACAAAACGGTTCAACGAGAGCCCATTACCTTTCTCGGTGGAAGCTTTTTATACCTTGACCCTATTAATATCTTGGCGTGGCGTCGTTCATCACTGCCGGTGGATCGCATCGAGGCTCACATAAGCTCTAAAACCGTACGAGTGTGGGATTTCCGACAGCACGCCGACCTGTCTTACCTCGCGGTGACATCGAGGCGCAATCCGTGATTGACGGCACTCTGTAAGCACAGCCACTCATCACCGGCCTGCTGTCTCCAGTGTGACGCTGCATTTCGGGTCGTTGGATGTTCCTGCCATTGCCGCTGTTCCGGGGAAAGTATCCACCGCCATATTCCGGTTCATCACATCCGGGTATCGCGAGGTCTTCAGTAGGCGCTTAACCCCCAGTCTCATGCGCGGAAGACCCATCGTAATCACATTGTGATAGTTTCGACTTGAGGGGGACCAGGTAGCGGTCATCACCGCGTGCTGGACGCGACGACTGACGCTCGCTCACTTGTCCCTAGTTTCTGCCGCGCAGCCCGTTGCATCGCACCAGCATCGCACGAAAAGGCTCACCTCTCACTCACCATTCTTCCCCCAGTTTTCTCCCCCAGCTATCCGCCCGACATCCAATTAGCGAGAACCCCAAATCTTCGCCTCGCCCCTGTCCTCGTCGAGGCGGGTATTGTGCGCAACGTCGCATCTCGCCGTCACTATTGGCTGGTTCCCTGGGGAAGCGACCAATTGAACGGCCCCTCTCGAACCCGGCGCTTAACCACCCTCCTCACCTTCGCTCCTTATTGGATCGGCCCGCTGTGATGGCACCGCTCGTAGTCCACGGCACATGCAGCGCGGTCCAATTGCCCGCGACCATCAGCTTACCCGACCACCCCCTCGCCGCTCACCTGCTTGCTGACTTGCTTGCGTCCGGCCCCCCCCTCCCCCAAGGCGAATGGCGATGAATGGATGGAATGAACAGGAGGGCTACCTGCAGAGCGTGAGGTGGAATGGCCCTTAAACTGCCACCCTGCCCCCGACCCGATAGAAGGCTCTCCTCTCACCCGGTTTTCTTTCCATCTGCCTTGAAGAATCCAACCCGTTTCAAGACAACGACGACGATCCAAGCCAATAAACACCAGCCCTTTGCTTGCATTGGCTTGCAGTACTTCGCCAAGGTTGAGTGCTGGTGCTTGACCGATGTGAAATCTCGTTGTTTGCTTGGCGACAACTGCGCCTCGACACAGAAAAAAACGAAATACAAGGAATTCCTATCCGTGGCGAACAGGCTTGGGGCAAGGCTCGAGAAGAAGAGCACTTCCGAATTCTCAATTCGGCCAACGCGACAGAAAACGAAATAAGGGGCCGCGTTTTAAAAGGCCTTTGCAACACGACAAAAAGGCGGAAGAGGCAAGGGGAAAACAGGGAAAGAATAAACTGCAGAATGCCATACCAGATCGTGCACAGGAAATGGCTCCTCCGGCCGTGGATGTGGGTGCTGATGCCGCTCGAGCTCGCCGGCCTCGTGCCGCTCCTCGTCCTCTTCGGCATCGCTCAACCGGACCTGTATCGGACCAAGCTGTGGGAGATCGGCCACTACTACGGCTTCAACTCGGACCCCAGGATGATTCTGTACGCGTACGCCAACTACGAGCCGTATCCTAATGTCCCTTTTGTGTGGACACGAACGTAGGTTCCCCCCCCCCCCCCCTCTATCCATCCCCCCGTATCGTGCCGGAATCCATGTTTTCATCATGGGACACATCTCGGGACACACCCGGTGCCAGCAGAGCTAACGTGCCATCCCATAGTCTTACCGACTTCAACGTCGCCATCTCCGTCATCACCTTATTCGTCCTCCTCGTCAAGCTCATCACCTTCATCATGAAGTTCTGGTTCCCCATGCTTGCTGCCGGCATCAACCTCGCCATGGTCACTCTCTACACCGTCTCCGTCTACGGACAGATGGGGCCCGACCACGCCGACCCGCGGTACCACTCCAATGTTGCTTGGTACATCGCCAAGTCGTGCGACTACGCCCGCCCGTTCCGCGCGTACAAGTCATGCCAGCTCGCCAAGGGGACGTTCGCGGTCACGGTATACATGCTCGCGCTGTACGTGGCTAACCTGGCCATCGCGCTGTACGTGTGCTGGCCGAACGAGAGAGACAGGGCGGGCGCGGTCGAGGAAGACGGGAGCGACAGTGGGAGCGGGAGCTCTCCGTCGGATTACATCAAGGAGAGAGAGTGGGAGATGACGGGCATGAAGGGACCTGCGAGCCCGAGGGTGATGCCGTATACCCCGCGGACGCAGGCGTTCCACACCCTGGACAGGAAGTTGCCGCTGAGGCAGCATTACGGTTAAGTGCGGGGCGGCTTCGAGGTCTCCCGATAACTTGAGGGGAGGGGGGGGGGCGTCGATAGGAAAGTTTGACTTGTGAAGTTCTGTCGGTGGCCGAGGTCACGGCAGCGATGAGAGAGATATATCCCTTCTTTTTTTATGATCCAGAGGAGGCATCTGACGTGGATTTTTATTACCCTTTTATTTACTCTTACTACTACTACCAACCGATCTGGGAGTTCGGAATGTCGACGATGGGCTGTTACAGGAACAGCCCTAGACTGTAGTGAATTGGCTCCTTTGTGGGCGGCCTTCGCTCAAAGAAAGGGAATGTCGGCGTGTATATAGTACGCAAATGGCAAATCTTCTGAAACGATACAGCTTTTGTATATATGTATATCTTTTTTTTTTCTCCTTAACTATGCCACTTGCGCTAGGATGAAGGTTAGGTTCTTATACATGTTTCGTGGTGATGGTCGACTCGATCCGTCGTCGATGCCACCGCGTCCCCAGTGCAAGTCTGCCTCTTGTCCAATGACAAGTCCTGTTGCGTGCTTCGATTTATTTTTTTGTTCTTTTTCCTTTTTTTTTTTTTTTTTTTTTTTTTTTTGAAGAATAAGAAGAAGCATGGTGGATTCCTGCGTGGAACCTTCCCTGGAAATCGAGGGCAGCAAAACACCGCTATGCTGGATGGTGGCAGTCCTTCTTGACCCTGCCGGTAATCTCGGCCGCCTATGCGTTTCTTGATAGATACATCTCCACAAGCATCGCCGTTGTTCTCTGCAACATGGATGTAGCAGCATCTTACCGAGAGATGACGCCTACGGCGAGCCTTGCCGACGTCGATCTCGCTTCACACGCTGTTTTGACAGCAATGCATACATAGCATGCGTGGCACTCCTACATGCATGCGATCACCGTTCTCTGGCATCGTCGGGCCATGTTTCATTGCGGATGCTCGGGAGTATGGGGAGAGAATGAGGAGGAGCATAGTCGGGAGGTCTCGCCTGGGGAAGAAAGTAGGTTCCTCGAACAATCGAGTAGTCCCTGCCTTCACCCGCGGAGGGAAACCAGAACGATAACACCCGTAGGCCACCGGCCGTCTCGTGCCAGACCTTCCGAGGTGTATTACCCACGCGAACCTTTACGTGGACGAAGGAATGACGTCCGCGGATCGACGGGAGCTCTCGTCTCATCGGGTTAACTGTTTCGTGCATCTGGGTGAGCAATCCACGGGCTGCCGATGAAGCTTTGACCTGACGTGTCGTAGAAACCATGGAATTGACAGGTACAATGAATTTAGCGGAAATGATGACAATAGTATACGTCTACTACCGTGCTTTGGAAGATCAGAGTTTGGTTTCCGGTATCGTGTTTTGGGTGCTCGCAAAACGGGATATGTGCGAACGGGATGCACACCCATGATGTTAGAGGGTTACTTTACAAATCCAAAACGTATAACCAACCCAATCCCCTTTCCACCTGCAAAATCTGTCAAAAGGGCCAGAAAAATGTGCAAGACAGGAGAATTGAGTCGCCTTGCCTCCATGTCTGTCTTGCCCATAAGCATACGCGGCGATATCGTTGTGCTCCATGAGCGTCGAGGTGGCCGAGTGCCCACTCCTTACAACAGTGCCAGACACATTCAATCGCAGAAAGCCATGGGTGGAATCCGATATACATACGTAGGTGCTTTCTGAATAGGCTAGCTTGGTCTTCGACGTCGAAGACATCCACTGCCCAAGGATGGCATTTCGAATACAGCTTGGATAGTGACTTGCAGAGCGAACGGTGCTAACGAGGCCTTGGACCAAGCCCCTCCTCCTTCCCTTACAACATTGACACCAAGTGAACCGTAGGTCCAATAATAACCTCCATGATCAAATGGACAAGGTTCGCTTCTCATTCCGGCATGGCCTGGCCTAGAGCATCATTTTTGTCAAATGTTGTACATGCTACCACGTATCATGGCGCACCACGATAAAGTTACTTGACATGGTTTGGCAGGGCTACGAAGGGAGGATAAATGCTTATGTGTCAACGACATATTTGGTTTGGATGTTTGAAGCAAGGAATTGGAAACATGGTCGCCATAACGCGAGTATCGACAACGCCTTTACTACGCAGCTCAACTAGCTTCTTATTCAGTGCCAGTGTCCTCGCATTTTCTACCCACAGCGCCAGGATGGTTTACCGGCAGGTTGCTGTCCTCTCGAAAGCCGGATGAAACAGAATGTCATCAGTCTAGGCCCAGTCGCACCTTGCCCGATTCGTAGAAACCAAACTTTCTTCCGATGCCTTCTCGGACAATGTACATTGTAAATTGCTCTCCGCAACAGAGACAAGGTCAACCCAGTCAACAATCGCATTTCTCCACCACATGCGCGGCGGGAAGTTAAGTGTTCCCAGTTGCCAGGAATACAACCCACATGATACTCCTCCACTCACAAAGCTAGAATGGGCCATCTCGGACGCCGCGATTACGTAGTGATCCGCCGGATCGTGGGTCAATTTCCAACGTCGCCTCAAGTCGCCAGTTACGTCGTCCCCAGCCGGCCAGAATCGCGTGTAGGAAAGCCAAGAGCCGGGGAAGCCAACCGCATCAGTACGTCGCAACTTGCGCCGTGGTCGAGGTCCACGATGTCAACAATCCATGCGCGAGCCCGGCCCGAGTCAGGGTGCAGAGCGGTTAGCTGAGCGCGTGCGTCCATCGATCCTCCCCCACGTCCCCAGTACTAGCAACGCCGCCCCGGCCGCGAGCGGTGTATGGGCCGTATTCGCCAGACCAGAAGACGGAGTGGCCACCTGTCAGCGCTCGAACCGGAGAAGTCGCCCGCAAGAGCCTCCAGGGCCTCAACGTCGAGACCGAGGCGTCCGAGTCTGGGAAGCTCTCGAGACAACATTTGAACCCATCCCTCGTCACCGAGGGGCAGAGACGACACGAAACAGAGCACGTGCCGACCGTTCGTCCGTCTGCCAGCTAAGGCCCCGCCCCCCTCCCTTGCCCGAAGAGATCCTCGCCGAGAACCAGTTCGCAGTCAAAGCTCCCAGACGAAACCCCTCCTTGCCCGCCTGTCGCCTTTGTCAATACTAGAGAGAGATAGATACACACGGACCGAGGCAGTGCGAAGGCCCGGAGAACCAAACGAGTACTGGGGAGAGAACGGAACGCTGCACCGAAGAGGCTTACTCTATCCATGTACTTGGCTGACGCCGGGGGCCCCTTTGTCCGTCCCCTCTACTACGACACAGACTGTCGCAAACGCTATGTGGCATCGGTCAAACAGGCGAGAGCAGCGATCACCTTCCTCGCGAACCCCTTCCCTCTCAAACCGTCCCCGCCTTGCGCAGAAATATTGATTGACTATTTCACACACACACATACACACACATACACACACACACACACACACGACACGGAAAAGGAGAATAACGGCAGGACATGTACCCGTAACTGCGTGCTCTATAGGTCAGATGCTAGAAAGCCAATGGGGGGGCCAGACGAGGCACCACCAGCCATTGCCTATATACCCCGCTTCATCTCCTCCACGTACTGAGAGGCACCTTCTGACAGGACTCGTACAGTGCTGTATGCCGAGTGTGCCTCGACATTTGCCCCCCGGATGGTTTCCAACCCGCCTCAGGAGCAGGACGGCGTGGCAAGGCAGGTTATATAGTGTACGTGAACACGCAGCACGTCCGTACAAGAGATCGGGCCAGCAAAGGCAGGTCGATGGAGCCGTGCATCGTCACATACGTTTCACGCTTACTAACCTTCTGGAACGTGGCTAGCAGGCTTCGCAGCTGCACGTGGTGTGGTGTGGTGGCAGAGCTCAGACTCTCACGCTTGTTCGCCCGTTTCGAGGATCGACGACATGGCCGTTGGCGGGATTTGCCCGCCGCATTTTTGACGCCGCAAGGCATGTAGACTGACGTGACGAGGCGTGAGGGCATCCAGCTTACGTATCCAGAGGCTTGAGCGACGAAGGCCGGGCACTTATTTGACTACATCATCCGTCCAGAGTCACTGCTAGGGCTGAATCGAAACGGACCAAAATACACGACTAGACAACACGCAGCGAGCTTCTATTAAGTATTAAGTGGATGCGAATGAGCTGACACTAGCCCTAATGGCCAGCACAGACAGTTTCATGCAGTCTTTGTCCATCAACAGCAACATCTCCAAACTCGAGTCTGACAATTCCTGACCCTTGCCCGAGAGTTGAACCAAACACAAGAGGTCCGTCCATCCTGTCGACCCAAGGCAACTTCGATTTTTTGTCGTGGGTATTTTCCTTTTTCGTGTTCTTGTCTGGAGCGACGGGTATAACTGGGTATCAAAGCACGATACTTGTAAAAAGAAAACGGGATAAAAACCAAGCCAAACGAAAGAGAGCAAAGACGGAGGAAACTGACTTCGAGAACGACAGAAAATGGAACGGTATCACCTCCCGCCGGGTTTCGCCTTCCAATGCGTGTGCCGTAAAAGAGGGAAATAGGAAAGGGTATCAGGTAGAACCAGTCTTGACGGGGTATCTTGAAATGCAGATCCGATTCCCGAACAAACCCATCCGAGTGAAACAAGTTGTCACGTGATGTTTGTTGCTCTTCCTCCGAATCTCGATTCGATGCGTGCACTTGTTTTTTTGTGATTTGGTTTCTTTGTTTTTTGTTTGCTTCATTCCTTTGAGCGTGACTTCCGCTTGCGGGGAAGCGACATCGAACTCAGCCGCGCACTCTATGCGGCGGCAGTGACAGGGGCGGGGGTAGAGGAGGCGACGTTCTCAGGCTTGTTCTCAGGCTCCTCAGTGGCCTTGGATGTCTCGGCAGCGGGAGTCTCGGCGGCGGGCTCAGCAGCATCGGCAGCAGGGGTCTCCTCGGTCTTCTCAGTCTGCTCGACCTTGTCGGCAGGCTTGTCGGCCTTGCCACGGGCCTTGATGGTAGCACGGAGCTTGGAGAAGGCGCTGGTCTTCTCCTGCTTCTCAACCTCCTCGCCCTCAGACTGAATGGGGGACTTGGCAGGAGACTTGTCGCGCTTGCCGAAGCCGAACGGCAGGGAAGACTTGCGCTTCTCCTTGAGCTCAGGGCGAGTCTCGCCATTGGTGGCGGGAGCCGTCTCCTTGACCTCAGTGGGGACGGTGCTAGGGTTGGCGACATCAACGGCCAGAGGGGTGGTAGCCTCAACGGGAGGGATAACGGGGGCAGTCTCAGTGGCGGGAGTGACCTCGCCCTCCTTAGCGGGGGCGGGGGCGGCCTCCGCCTCGGCAACGACGGCAGCCTTCTTCTCCTTCTTGCCGAAGACGCCAAAGATGCTGTTGCGCTTGGCTGGGACAGGCTTCTCCTTCTTCTCCTCCTTGGCGGCCTCTGCGGGCTTGTCCTCAGCAGCCGTCTCAGTGGCAGCAGCCTCAGTGGCGGGAGCAGCCGGGGTCTCGGCAGCGGGCTCCTCAACAACGGGGGCCTCAGCGACGGGAGTCTCCTCCTTGGCGGCCTCAGCAGGAGTGGCAGCGGCCTCCTCCTTCTCTTCCTTCTTCTCGTCCTTCTTGCCGAGCAGGCTGCCGAAGATGGAGGCACGCTTGCGGCTAGCAGAGCGGCGCTTGGGGTCCTCCTTCTTGGTCTCCTCCTCCTTGGCAGCCTCCTCGGTAGCGGCGGGGGCGGCAGGAGTCTCGACAGCAGGGGTCTCGGCGACAGCAGCGGCCTCAGCAGCGGGGGCTTCGGCGGGCTTGTCCTCCTTCTTCTCTTCCTTCTTCTCCTCCTTCTTGGCAGGCTTGAAGCTCTCAAGAGCGGTCTTGTAGGCCTCAGTCTCGGTGACGGTGGAGGCAAGCTCCTTCGCCTCGGCGATCTTGAGCTTCAGCTGGGAAATCCAGTTGTCACGGTCCTCGGCATTGGGGGCCTTGAATGTGTGCTTCTGACCCTTGGCAGTGAAATGGAACTTGTTGGCGCCATCAGCGGCGGGCTCAGAGGCATCAGCCTGGGATGTTCGTTAGCGGAATGACATCTGGAGGGGGCGTTATCTCAAGTCTTACCAAGTTGATGACACCCTGAGGAGCGGCCTTGTCGCCGAAGAAAAGGAGGCCCTTGCCGGTGTAGGAAGCCCAGGCAGCGTTGTGGTGAGCAGTCTCGGCGGACTTCTCGCTCTTCAGGTAGGAGGAGAGGCTCTTGGACTCGACGGCATCGTTTCCGAACCAGAAGAACTCCTTGGAGTAGATGAAGTTCCTGATAATAGCTGTTAGCAGACTTTAAAAAATAGCGTTGGCAGATGCGACTTACTTGGGGAAGTTAACGCCCTTGTGCTCAAGGGTACCCTCCTCAACGGGGACGACCTCCTTCTTGGCCTCCTCGGCGGGAGCAGCGGCCTCGGCGACGGCCTCGGCGGGGGTCTCGGTGGCGGCAGCCGGAGTCTCGGCGGTCGCGTCAGCAGCGGGAGCGGCGTCGGCAGGAGTCTCAGTGGTCTCCACGGGCTTCGTCTCGGCAGCGGGCTGCTCGGTGGTGGCAGGGACAGTCTCCTTGGGGACTTCGACAGGCTTCTGTTCTTCGGCCATTGTGTCTGGTGTGTGGTTGAAAGGGGGGGGTGGGTATCAAAAAGTCAGGCGACAGACTTGGGTATCACAATGAAAAGGGGTTAAAACAAAAGCACTATTGAAAGTACTGTATTGGTTGGGAGAGGGGGTGGTGTGATCTCTTGGTCAGGAATAGTCAAGAGGGGCGAATAGTGGCAGAAGAAAAAAGGAAGACCTGTAAATGGTGGCAGAGGAAAGACGGGAAGGAAGAGAAGAAGAATGGGAGGTGGTGTGGGATGCTGGGGGTACTTATTCGCAGAAGCGTGACAAGAAGAGGCTTTGCCCTTGTCAGGAGGCCCGGTTGAACGAGGTTCACACGGCCCAGCTAGTCCCTTGCGAAGGAAAAAAGAGGCGTGGCCCCGTTCGGAGTGGCTCCCCGCCGGGTGTGTGAGAGGTACCTCTAGATTGGTCGGAGAAAAGAGGTAGGGATGTATCTCGTACAGAGTGTGTCAGTGTCAGCTCGTAGGGCGGCACTGGCTTGGAAGCTGTCTCGTTGCTTGGGTGAAGACAAGGACGGTACGGGAGGCGATACGGTATGGACTGGACGGTGGGCTTGATCCAAACCGTAGAGAGCCCGAGAAGGGGGAAGGGGCGGGCGGTATGGGGTAGGATGATGGGATGAGAGGATGCTTGTCTGGGCTTGAGAGCAGTGACCAGGTCCAGGCAAGTGCGACGAAGGTCAAAGGTCAGTCTGGTGGCCGGTCTGCTGAGCAGCTTTGGGGGGGGCAAAAAAAAAAAAAAAGGACGCGGTGTGTATGAGAGTTGCGAGTGACTCTCTCTGTGTTGTGTGTGTGAGTGTGAGGTTCGACGAGTGAGGTGCAATCAATGACAAGGGTCTGGTTCCAAACGGATACTTTGTAGTGGGGGGTACTTTCCCTTGCAGTCCCGTCAAACTGATACTGCCGTACAAGTACCTAGGTAGAGTACGTACTAACTTGTACATGCAAGTCAGCAGGCAGTCAGTCATTGTCAAAGACCACACTGACCCTGTGTCGCGTCGCCTTGCTCGTATGGTGGCGGAACCTCCCATCTCGTTCCTTCCCTTCGCCGCCCGTGCCTGTCATTGGTGTCTGCTGGTCGGTCTCTTCTAGACTAGTCTAGTCACTACGACTAAGATTCTGATGTTGTTTGACACTACTATTTTGTGACGGAGCAGGTAGGTATCTATGCAGAGGAATGCCAAGTAACAGGACGATGTAGAAAAATAGCCACCACAGGTTCAGGCATACTACTAGACTTATACGTACAGGGAGGGCATGCATCGCAGAATGCTGCACAGGACCAGATACCTTTTCCCGGCGCAGGTACCTACCCACCTACTTACTGTGCTGTGTGTATATGGTACTTTGCACTTTAAAATGGGAGCGGGGCGTCGCATCTGGTAACTCTTTCCCTGCCTGTCAATGCGCTTATAGTAGGTGTGTCGCTCGGTTGCCAGGTGGGCGAGATGAGAACGCAGACTGGTCTGTGCAACATGCAAGCGGGTGGGACGAAATTTGCCAGACCCGTAACGGGATCCCTTTTTTTTTTTTTTTTTTTTAGTGTAAACTACTACACAGGTAGGTGGTAGTCGCGTAGCGTTGCGTTGCGTTGCAGGCTGTCCTGCCTTTGCGCGCTGTACTATGGAGAGAGGGAAGGGAAGGGAAGGGAAAGGAAGGGAAGGAAAAGGGAAGGAAAGGAAAGGAAAGGAAAGGAAGGGGGGGATCAATCTTAAGGTGTCTGCGATACATAGTGCCGAGGGACAAGAACAGCCAGGCGAGCGGGAAAGATGCAGGACGGACAGGACGGGAAGGACGACGACAACGACGACTGAGGGTGAGAATGAGGACTAGCATTTCCACAGGTACTTTGGCCAGCGTCAGGGGCTCGTAACCTCCCTAGACCCTGCTGCTTTGCCGGGGATATGCCATGCGGGGCCCACCCCTGGCCGTCAATCCTAGACGTTAGCAGCCATCCTATTTCATTTGCTAATCTTTCCCCCCCCCCCTTCTTTCCTTTTTTCTATTCTGCTTAAAGCCTCTCTCTGCGAGCGGCGTCACCGTGTCCCTCCCCTGTGCCTGTCGAACGATCGTTCCTCACCAATGCAACGACAGACGCTACGTTGTGATTGATGTATGTACACCTTGGAGAAGAAGTAGAACAAGGGATTCGTAGACGAGCCTAAGTATCGTTGAAGAGGGAATCAAACCCGTGTGTGGCAGGAATTCCTCATCTTCCTGTCTTTTGTTTTTGTGGTTTCCCCCCCCCTTCACTTTTCTCTTCTCTCATCAACAGCCCGGTAACCGCTCCGCCGTTTCGTTTGTCCAGGCGTTTTACCCAATAGAACCCACTCCTTTCATCTTGCAGCCCAGAGCTGGTGGACCAGAACGAGATGGCTGGGTGATTTCGATACGCGCTGGACCTGGACCTAGACCTGGGCGACCGACCCTTTCTCTCCTTCTGTCGAGATAAGGTAGGCAGGGAAAAGGTAAATAGGGGGCGAGCGGCCGTCCGCATCGCGCCCTCTCGTCTCGCTCTATCTGTACAGAGCACACTACTAGCCTGGCCAACTCTCTCTCCATCGTCGGCGGGACGATGTAATCTGGCATGATTTCCAGCAACGTTTCGCGAAGTGACTCGTGTTGCACTCGAACCAGCAAGGCCCCGGATTCTGCCTCCTGTCTCCCCCCCCGATACCGCTCTTTTGCTTACTGCCCTTGCCGTTCCCAACGTTTTCCAAAGTTGGATGGAATGTCTGTAGAAGAGGTACGGATACCGTTACACTCCAAGGCCACAACGCGACGATCGGAAGTGGATGAGATGCAAGCTGCATAAGCAAATCACGGGACACAATGTTCTCTCTGCATCCGAGTCCTCTTCTGTTCTCCCGATTGGAATACAGGGGCCCAACAAAGTACGTACATGGGGAAGAGAAGTAGAAAAAGAAAAAAGAAAAAGGAAAAAAAAAAAGTCGTACAAATACCTACACTACCGACCGGTACGGGTACAATCACGAGAAGAACAACCCTTGAGCTAGACGACTGCACTCGCGTGATGGTCATGCAGCCAGCCCGCGACGGACGTCATACTCTGGGCCTCGACGGCTGCCGTTGATGTGCTCCATTTTCGTGCATTGCATGCAAGCTTTTTGTGTGGCATGACAACCACACAACATTCAACAGTAGCACCCGGCCTGCAACTGGCGCGCATCGCATCCCACCACCTTCCAGGACGAGGGAGGGACTCTTGACGAACACCACCACCACTACCCGCTTGAGAAGGGGCTTCGGGAATTGGCTGATGTTCTGGGCTGATGGAGTGAAGTGGGCTGCACTGCCTGGCCGTATCCCCCCTCCATAAGGAGTAGTGTACCGTCCATGCCTACCGACTGATCATCTCCTGCTCTCGTATCTCATCGCATGCGCCGCAGACGTCTCCGACCGGGCTGGTGTTCCTCTGCCCTGCAAGAAAGCACATGGGAGAGAGTGCGGCGTTGCGACCGGCCGCCAAGTGCCGGCATGGCTGGGCGCACATCCGTAGCGCTTCAGATATTCCGTCTTACACCCCCCTTGCTCTAAAAGCCGGTGACCGTTTGTCTAAACTACGCAGGCCGCCGTTTCTTGAGGACTTACCGCTAAACAACAACGATCATCACGTTGCTTCCGTCGGGAAACATCTCGAAATGAACCGTTCGAGTGCCGCCAAACAAAAAAGGGGAGCGTGTGCGGCTGTCGTGTTTGGCACAAAAAAAAAACCACCCCATGTCAGGTAAATGTGGCAGTACATCTTCCATTATCTCAGCGACGACATTCAGCACACAATCCGGCCAGTGAGAGTCTCAACGTACGTACGTACAGGTAGGTCACAACTCCACACCACCGGTTAAGGAGTTTTTACTTGGTCATCATACCTGTACATACATACATACCATGGGGAGGAAAGGGGTCTCCTACTTGCTACTCTCTCGCCCCCACTACTTTGCGACACAAATCTTTGTCCTGTCAGGTCACCCATCAAAGGATCGATGGCTGTCGTTAAGCCTTGGGTCGGAATCCACATGGTCAGAGCGGTAGTGTAGTGTACAGATACTGTACACTACCCGTACAAGCATGAGGAAGGATGAGGAAAAATAGGAGCCAAAGTGGACCCCTATCCCAACCGACCACACCATAGGGCAACAATGGGGAAGACGGAGGGTAATGTACTTGAGATGTGCCGCTAGCCCACTAGCTGCATCCCTATCAGAACCATGTGACTCAGGACACAGGACCGTCGATGGCAACTGTCGTTGATTAATCGCCCTGTGCATCTTATCCTGATGCTTCATTGGACTGATTGCCTTTCAGGCTGCACAACAACTGACTGGCCGATGGATAATGGATGTCAGCCACGCCTCTCTGACCGGCAATGTACGTACGTGTGTGTGTTTGTGTCTGTGTGTGTGTGGGTGCGTGTCGTCAACCAGCAAGCCGATGGCGCTCTCTTTGGCCATGACGCTTGCGCACAAACCAAGTTGGGTAACGAGATATGCGGCAGCCCAACCTGCATAGTAGGGGCTCCCTCTTATCTCAAGATGCGCTCTTGAGCGACCTGTCTGTCCTGACTCCGTGTGCGCTGGCCCTGTTCGTGGGAGATCCAACCCCGGAGAACCCTCAAGTCCCGGCTAAGCCATCATAGTAGTGCTCTTCATGCATAAAAGGATACGATACAGGTGGGATAGCAGAGCCTCTATACTTGGTCCAGATGTGTCCGTCTGATGCACAATGCGCTCCGTACTCCTAATATGGCACCATGCCTGCGCAAAAAGCTGCCTTACGGGTATCTGAGGCGTTGGCATCCCCACCGGTTGCGGATCAGGAAAAAGGAGAAGTCGTTCAAAGAAGATTCGTCGTCAGACCGGCACGATGGATCCACCAGAGCCAGAGGACGACGGCGACGGCTACTCTTCTCATGACAAGCAGAAACGAAAGCCGCCCCGACGCACAGCCAATCAATCTGAGGTCCACAAACCCTTGATTGGCCTCTGGACCCATTCCGCATATTTGATCCAAATAACCCTAGCTGCCGCCAGGCCTAGTCTTGGACATACAGGAACTGACGGGGATGCAGGGGGGTCGCCCCCCCTGGTCTCCAATGATTTTCGTCTTCTTTCCTCTCGAGATTCTCAGGACCACAGCATAAGAACCAGGAACATCAAACCTCTTCCTCCTCCACCGCCCATCCTGGAAGCTGACCTGGAAATAAGCACACTCGCCGACGACTTGCCTTGCCAACCTATCGACAACCACAAAGAGGAAGAAGAAGAAGAAGAAGAAGAAGAAGAAGAAGAAGAAGAAGAAAAGAAAAAAACAGATTCCCGACGACACTTGTGGCAACTTCTTTTCGAACACACACATGAGGCTAGGCCTGTCGAGAAGCCTGAGGCTAATTCTAGCCACAACATATTATTCCTAACAGACCGAAGCTTGGGCGTTGCTGGCTGCTTTGGTAACCATCCATAACGGGGCTGCGATGCAGGTGTACAGGGACGGCAAATTGCGGCCGCTGCCGAGCTAAAAAGTGCTGATGGGCACGGCGTTCATTTCAATAAAGACCCTTGGGCCGTCCGAATCGGCCACTATTGGCTTTGGGGTTCCAGCGCGGCGCTACCGTCGCGACCCTATTAGACCACTTGGCCTGAAGCGTACCTAACCTGCAGGCTCGAGCGATCGATGAAGGCCACGGTCCAGTATCCGTACCTTGCTCAATGTGACGGGCGAACGACGTTGTTCCAAGTGGGCTGACAAGCGACAGCAGATAGGTGGGCGGCGTCTGGCGGCTATGAGCAGATTACCTATCCCGAAGTCCGAAAGACGAGAGTTCTGTGAATCACGCTTGGTTGGCTATTACGGATTTGACCGTCGTGTATGTATGTATGCCTTGCCCCTGAACGCCGCCGCAGTCCGTCGTCTGGATCCGTTGGAGGCCGTCGAACAACCCACACCGAAAACCTCTTGGGATGGTGTGTGTTGGCTTGGGATGAGGTTGCCACTTGTGGAATGCGGTCCAACTTCCAGGGTGCCCATGATCAATGTTTGTTATGTGCTGGTTGCGCGTACCACCCTCAGGACAGCCCACACCAACCCTGCCAGCTGACCCCTGTCTTGTTCCTCGCCGATTTTACTTTCTGGGTTAGGAAGTTACATTTGCAGCAGATTTTCATCTGGCCCCACGCCGTGACCAGTCACGCTGGTGGTGACTCCAGGGAAAAGCCCAGCTGTCGGAGGACAGCTCATCGCAGCAGAGCAAGGCTCGGAGCCGGGCATGACTTGCCCCCGAAACTGAAGATCCGTGATGGTGTCGATTTGTATTGTCGCCCAAGTGGATTTTCAGGCAATTTCTAGAACGGCCGGGTGATATTGTAGGTTCACTGGATCTCTGGCACGAGGCAAGGGCTTCGCTAGCGGTCGTTAGCGAACAGTATTTGTGCAGCAGAGGAACATAGTCGGATGATGAGACGCTGGGTGGACGCAAGAGACTGCTGTTCATCAGACAGCGTATAGCCCTGCTTGGCTGGATGGCGACATCGTCATCCGCTCGATCTTGGTGCAAGGCATCTCGCCATCTGTGACGATGAACTGCAGCATCGCGCAGCGGGTCACCCAGGTCTAAACTGGGGCCGTGGTTACAGTCTCAGATATTGTACACATGACCGACGAGTCGACGCGGAAGTTGAGAGGTGTGGATGGCCTGGCCAAGAATGGCGCCCATTAAGGATGGTAGATTACCGTATCCAATTACCTGGCGTGACATTACAGAAGCAAGGCAGTGTGCTGTATGTGTGTGGCGGCGCTTTTTTGTAGCATGCCGCGGGTGGTGGGCACCGTCTAAACGCGTCCCATTGGGCTATGCCGATGGCGTAGGTCAAGAATTCGAGATAGCGGGCTGGGGTCCTGGTGAAAGGCTGCTCTCATGATCTTGATCGTCGCCGCCTACAAATAACCGTAGCGTAGCCAGGAAGTTTCCTACACTACCTACTACCTAAGGTAGGAAGCAGGAATGGAAAGTCATGGAAAGAGCGACCAGCAATCGAGCAGGTACTATGGTGGTTTAGTTGCCTAAGGCCAAGGCTTGTTTGTTGCTTCGTGCATGTTGCCTTCCAAGTACCGGATTCCATCCAAGCCGGTTTCTTTTAATTCAAGTCTACGGATACACACTTTGCCAATCGAGGTGTGCCGGTCACTTGTTGGTGTTGGGGGGTTTGGCCACCACCCTTTTTCGTCCCACGTTGAACGCAACCACAACCCTTCTTGATGGGGTCTGCGTCGATGGCCACCCTCCTATCCCCCTGACTGACTACCTACAGCACTTTGGACTGTATTGACTGATGGTGGCCGGCAGATCTACGACTATGCTACCAGCACATCCATCGCCCCTCCTCCCTGTCTTTCCTGCGTATGCGCATGATCACTTTCTGTTACGTTTTCAAGCAGTGGCTATTCTTGGTTGAAATGCCGCCCCTGGTCCGGCCGTCCGTTTTGCATCATTGTCGGGGCTGTCGTTGCCCTCTGCCGACTTTAACACGGCTATCGTTCGTTAATCCACTTCAGTAGTTGCCAGGTAAGGAAATTCATCGTTGTCATCGCTATCATCGATTGCTGCAGAGTCGCTGACTTGCTCCAGCAAGAATCGTTGAGTACCGACCGCCTTTATGTGCGAGCACCCGCTGCTCTCCGTCCAGACAAGCTTCGCGTGCCGGCCTCATTGGACGTGCATGCCGTCGCCCACTACCTGAGACAGACGGCATTGGGGTAGCTTACGACGGCTTTGCGGAGTAAAACATTGATATACCAAGGAATATTACAACCATCGCCGCGAGCCTAGACTCATACGGCACCCAGGTCTTCCCTTGCTTGCCTCCGCCCTTCGGGTTTGCTCGTACGATGTACTACTACCTGGCTCACGGGACGTTCCGGAAGTTCTGCCCCGAGTCCGCCGGCTTGCTTGAAACAGGGTTTCCTACAGACAACTTACCTTTTACTTCAGCCCAAGGGACCTCATCAACTGCTCGCATATCCGCAGTCTCAGCCGTGGAATGCTCACTTTTTGAGTATCAGTTGAGGGCATCCTCTCCCTGGCCGGCACCGTCATGGATGACTGTGCTGCGGACGTTGCCAATGGGATCCGGGAAATCAACAATGTCCTGCCACGACACACATTCCCTCGCCACGATGGCGCATTTTGTCGGACCATATACAAAAAGCCAACACCGATGGCTCTGGTGGTCGATGGTCTTAATAAGCACGCCCAACTAATACGGAGGATCCAGCCAACCAGGTGTTGCTTGTTGATCGTTCTCGATGCCGCAACTGAAACAAACCCGTCTCTCGTTTGATGCAGGTGGGGCCCCGTCGAGACAACCCGAAGAAAGGCAGGCATTCCGCTGCAGAGGCGGCGAAGCCACACCAAGGTCAGCTATGGAACGCAGCAAATACAAATACAGCACACCTGCTTTGCTGTTGGTTACAAGGTGATCCAAGTCATATCAGTGCCTCTGCCCGAACCTACCATTCATGCTATTTGTTTTCCCAGTCCGAACTGAGTTGCCACTAACCAGGTCTGTTGTCGCAGCTTACTGCCTAGGTAAGGGCAACTGCGCAGTATCGAATACGGGGTAGCGATCTTTCTGGCCTCTGCTGACCCAGAAGGGCGTCCTTATTTATATGTGACCGACGTTACACTGGCTCATGAATACTGGGAAACTTCTTTTATTGTTGACGATAGGCGGGCACCAACCGGCGTCGATGCGTAGCCTTCCCTGCCGAGTCTATTTCCAATGACCGACTGTTCCCGCCTCTTCCGAGCCTGGTTTTTGCCAAACCGGCGTCCTTGTCGAAACAAAGTTGCGGTGACGGTGTCTGATCTAGACCCGCCTGGGGTTTGACACCATACCATTGCTATCCAAGTATCAATCCTCGACGTCCTCACCATGCACGCCCGCTTGCAAAGCCCGTCCGGCACACGTCGGAAACGTTTATGCAAACCCCGCCACTGTGTGGCATGCACATGATGCGTCTTCTCTCTCGGCTTCTTCCCCTCATCACGTACCAAGATCCCCGCGTACCGGTGCTTGTATTGCACCATGACGAGTCAAGTGCCCGCTATCAAGCTATAGGTGGGCCGCACGAGTCTTCTTATCTTGGGGTAGGTCGCATTGGCCGGCTCTCGACATCAGCCGTACCACATTTCGAACCTATTTTCATCGTCGCCGCTAGTGCCGCGAATCCTTAGATTTGTCCGACGGTACCGTCCGTCTTAGCGGTCATTTTCGGTGCCGTCGGTGGAGCCCATCGTTGGTGGTTTATGCAGTACTCCTTGTAGGGGGGATGCAGCTCCTGTCACACCATAGGACGAGACATCAAGCCACTACGAGACGGGTTTGCCATGGGCTTTGTGGCACCAAAGACTCATTATCCTAGATGGGAGCTTTGACTTGGGCGATTAGGCTTTACTTCGGCTGGTTTTGACTTCAACGCAAGCGCTGAGAAGTTGACTGCAACCTTACGCCCCTTGAAAATCGAAATGGTATGTTATTATTCTCAACTCAACGCTATTAATTCTTTTGCCGTTCTGACTCGCGAAAGAACTTACGCCTACGCCTCGGATTTATTCAATGAGGTTCAATCTGGTGCAAAATACCAATCCTCAAGCTCTTCAGATATTCGATTGGCTGCATGTGATTGCTATTTGTTCGATAATAAGGGATGGGTTCCTAGATATACGCTTGCTGGCTTGTTTCTTTGGCTAGCAGGCTCTGCTATGCCGTGCCGATCGAAAGCGGCGACGCAGATCCAACTTCGGCCAGCCCCTAGTATAGACAATCTCACAATCTTCCTGATGGCTAATGGGTCCTAAGCCGCCAAGAACGACGGTGAGGGCGGGGGGGTTATTGTAGGTTCTATCAGCAGTGCAGAGAAACAAATGCTTACGGTTTCAGGGTCAAGCACGAGGGAGAGAAGCTACAGCCAATAGTCAAACAAGGTTAGCCGTCTTGGGTTTTCACAGGCCTAGTGATCGTATATAGTAGTGCTTTGTCTACTGAAACGGATCATATTGAACATCTCTGGGGACAGAAATCCGCAAAACCCATTCCCCCTCACACCAATAAGCATAATGCGACGAATGCAGGAGGCAGCAAACAAGTTGTCTCCTCGGGCTTGACAGATGCCATCTAAACAGTCTGAGGTCTATGCAACGTCCATGTTCTTAGGTCTCTTTGGCAAGATCCCACCCGCTCTTACCTGCTGCCTATGCAATACCTAAACATATTGTATCTATTGGGTGAGGGTTAGTACGAGGACAGATCTTGCTTTCGAGTTATATTGGAAGGTCCAAACTCTTGCATGTTTTGACAAGCGCGTTCCCAATCCACCTCATGTTGTTGCTCGAATGTGATTGAGTCCCTTTTGTGAGAGCTCCTGGGAGCAGTCTCCCCTGTCAAACGACGGCTTATATTAGCTCATATCGGCGAGCTGGTATCTCCTGCCCCTGCGAAGAACGGCATCTCCCAATGGAAGATGTTTGATTATACTAATATCAGTTCTTTTGTATTCCGGACTTCTCTTGGTATCAAGCAATCAGGGGATGCTGTGGCTCCCATAGGTTATGCACATGTTAGCTCTCCCATCCATGGTAGACATCATCATCATAATTACTTCGCAATTCTCCTGCTACATTAAAGCCGGTTCAGCTCTCGAAGGTAGTTCCCTTAACAGCGGTAGGTCCCTCCTTCCTCCCCCTCGACTTCATTTCCCTTTCTCGGCCAACCTCATAATTTAAATACCCCATCAAACTTTGGTTCTTGAATTAATTCAAGTACTACGTTCAAATTTCATAATCGTTTCGCCTCTAAATTTGTACGCAGTTCATCTTGTCCATGACGTTTGGCGCGCCTAGCTTTGCTCTCCTCGTTATAGACACATACCAACTCACCTCGACGTCCTCGCTAACCTCCAACCTCCAAGAGGAAACGACGCTCGAAACCTTGGGTTTTCGTCTGATCTGCTCCGGTCCCTGCTCAATTCCCATGGGTTAACCTTTGAGTTGATCAGCTACCTATCAACCAGCTTTTCACACCTCACCTTCGGCTTTGGCAGGCCTTTTCTCAATAGCATACCACTTCAAGTCTTAGTTTCATTTCCTCGTAGCTCTTTCTTCACGCTAACCAGCCAGAGATAATAGCGAGAAGCTCATTTGGAAGATACTCAAACTCTGAATCATCTTTTGATCTCACTTTCCTATATTGGCCGTAAGGAAGCTGCACTATCCGGCCTGCACCTTTCGATCTCACTTTTGACTCCTCTTCCTCTCTTCTACCGCTACTTCGCTTCTCTCTAATTCAGTTATATATACTCCAACCGCGTGGCCTATCTTCAGACAGTTGGACGAAGCTGGTCAGTTCTTTCTCCGCTTACCTTCAATCATCAGTCCGTCGGGGGAGAGACCGGTATCTGCAATGGCCTACGCCGAAAAACCCATCCGTCACGGTGAGATGAAGCTTATGGTTCCCGAGAA